GATAAATCAAAATATGCTCGAACTGCTAATAAATAGATCAAAAATTACTTATAAATACCATTTTCAAGGGTCTTAAATAAAATTAAGAACAATATCATGCGGTTAATGTAATTACAAATTAAATAATCCAATTAAGTATAGTCCGGTAATTGAACACCTAGATAGTAATCAAGACGTTGATGCTCATAAATCATTTGATGAATAAAAACTGACAAAATATAAATATTTTAACGATTTGAAAGCGTCTAACCACTGTAAAGATTTGTCACTTAAAAAAATGTATTAAAAAAAAGTCATAAGCTGCAATAAATCATGAGCATCAACACTTTTTATAACGCGAACGTCATTGTCGGTTCACATTTATACAACTCGAATGCAATATTGCAATAAACAATCAGATTATGAGTGGTTTTTTTATAAAAAAACTTTTATTACTAAAAAACTTCTTTTAGTGAAATTTTTTAATTCTTTGCACATGTAAAATACAGCTTGTAAGTTCAGTAGTTGAGTTAATAACACATTATAAAACTTTTGAATCTTTATAGGGTCATACAAATAAAATAATTATAATATACTCAGTGTGCAAAAACTTCAATACTCCTCTGTGTATTTTATACATTTAAACTTTATTATTTTTGAGACATATACGAAAAATATCTCAAGAAATTAATGTAGCTACTAAACCTCTTGTTTTAAAAAAATGGTAGTTAAAGATTTTTAATATTAAAATGGCAGATTTTTTTGATTAAATTATGGCTAATGTTAAAATCACTGTTTCTGCATAGTATACTTCTGACTATGTTACTTTCAACATATAAAAAAAATATAACTGATAAATACATATAGTTCATATAAAAAAAACAATCACTATTTTTCTTTATATAGGAAAAATGTATTCATACTACAATAAAACTAAAAAAAATTTTTAATTAAACAAAAACAAAAATGTATGCGACAAAAAAAAATATTGTTGATATTCAGTAATTTCCTCGTTTCGTCTCATTTTTGTAGTTAATATTTCTATAAGTAATAGAAATTCGTTGAAATTATTATAATTGAATAACTATACAAATCAATTCTAGATATTAATACTGTAACGGAAAACATAAATCTCTGTCGCCATCCAAAAGTTTTACCGATTTAATACTTCAGAACATCAACCTCAATTACGAAATTTCAAGTGTTATATCATCATACTTAACAGTTTTCCTTCAAGTTTTTGATACTATTATATTCGTATTACCAAATCACAAATTTGAAGAGGTTTTATTGCTCGAAAACAGCAGTGACCTATTTAATGTTTTGTTATTCTTCGAGCTTAACAGCTTAAGCTCGATCTCGAGACGATACATTATTTGTCCTAGAGTATTTTTAATCTAAAATTAATAATCATTATAATTGAAATGGTCACACTAAGCCAAGTTAAATGGCTAATTCATTTTTAAATTTATCACAAGTGTATTAGTAACTTGGGCTGACTTACACCCTGTTAGTGAATATATATATATATATATATATTGTATCTTTAAAACTGTATTATGTTAAGCAACTCCTAGACAATATATACGGCGTTTAGACCTAAGACGATAGATTCTATACAGTTTACTTATATCAATTGATTTACTATTATACTACATAATTCACGCTTAAGTTTTAACGATTCTCAAAAGCAAAATATTCAAAGAAACGTATTGAACAAAACACAATTAAATGACGTTTTTTTGTTTATTTTTTATACATGTTAATATACAATTAAACGTGTTATGCACGACGAGTAGTAATTTCTTTAGCAAACAGATTACTGTCTCTAATAACAAGCTTAAATTCACGTTAGGCCAGTAGAGAATCAACTGACATAATATTACAATAATACGATAATATTACGTTATCGTGGTCGACTTGTTAAGACATCATCCATTATCACATTTCACGTTAAACATACTTCGTGTTGCATTATTCATCGTGGGAGTAGTCAATGATTTAAGAGATTAGGACGTTCTACATCTGTGCAAATACGAACTACACTTAATAATACGGATTAGTTTTGTTGTTATATTTTTATTGGTGTGTTAAACAACATTGATGCTGTTGAATAACCATTACATTTCTAAAAATCGCATTTCATCATGTTTGTAATATACCTTAAGTTCCAGTGAAGCAATTTTTTTGACAGCGGTTAGCCAAACCGTAACCTTAAAGTGGGCCTCTGTACATCAATATTGCTATTTTATTAAGCATACGCCAGTCGTTTCGTTTACCGCAGCATTGAAATAATTATTATAGTTTTTTAGAGCATTGTTATTAAGTATGACCAAATAAAGGTAACAAGCGCTTGCCGCCAAAAACAGATCTACTCATCATCTGCATTCGAGGCGTTTTTTTTTTACACTTGTGATATTACCAATGTTTCTACCGTGACAGCTCCAGGCCAAAGATAGAGGTGTAAAACTTAAAAATAAAACAGTAACTTCAAGCATATACTAACCTCGTCCATTACGTCTTTAGGATAATGATATCATTATCCCAAAAACGTATAGCTTATACGATCATTATTAAAATAAAGTTATAATACATGTGTGACATACATTTTAACTATCATCGGTACACAAAATTATCTAGTGCATATGTTTACTAGGAAATAGTCAACGTGACTCATTTACATATTTAGCTTCAAGAAACATTTTCACGACAGAAGATTTCCAACTTCACTACGATACGTTTGTATACCTTTACAAAACATTGAACTTTTATTGATACTTAAACTATTGTTGAATTGTTTATGAAAATCAACTACATCATATGTTATATTAGATAATATATGAATCCGCTGGGGAAAAAATGAATAAGAGTATATTTGGTACATTATGTAATAATAGAATAACTAACAACATGTAAAAGAAAATATCAGTGATTAAATATAAAATTTTTATGATTTTCTTAACTAGAAAATATTCTTTAAGATCATATTAAATTTCAAACATAATAGTAGCTGAAATTAGATGTCAATAATTTTTTATGTATATCTCCACCTTTAAAATTATTAAAAAGCATATGTATTGCCAAATCGCTTGTACAGGCGTAGGATGCCGTTAAAAAGACCCAATAATCATTTATTACTCTGCAGTATAATTTATCCATTACACTTTTTCTTTTCGAACATTACCCCACAAATTCAATCTGACGTTAGGTTTCTAGGAAAAAATATCATTTCTTATTCGATTCAGGTCCAAATGCATTAAAATGGTGAAAATTCTATCAAAAGTTCAGTTTTTTTTTTGTCGTATACACGTTTTACAGTTGTGCATAATAGTGTGCTCGTAAATGCGGAAATCTCCTATTTTTATTTTACTTTTGAAGTCAGTATTATAAATGCCTATTAAAGCATGTAAAATATCGACTTTTTTATAAATAAACATTATAAAGATAGTATGGGCGCTGCTGATTCACAGTCTATTGTGCTGTTCGACAACCAGCAGCTAGGACCGGTTACTTAATAACAACCGTAAAAAAAAAAAATTAAATAAATCATTGTGAGATCAATTCACATTATTGCATTTGACGTATAGGTCAAAAATCTAAATTCAATACAGCTATAGCATTCATATCTGTTAATAAGTTTAAAATTACAGATACTTCACAGGAAGTATATGAAAATGTCAGCATAACACAACTTATAATAAGATCTATTTATGATCATCAAGATGTATAATGATTTATCGACACATAGTTTTTTTTTTTTGTATGTATAATTATAGGTTTATTACCATTGTATGATAAATCTGGCATTCTAATTAATTATGATATTTTTTTCATACACAATAAAGATAAACGGGAAAAGTTTTTAAAAGGTTAATTTATCATAATACAAAAACAACTAATGTATAAGCTTTTATTTATTTTATCATTTTATAGTTTTTGATTTAAAAACTTTAAACTTATATATTAACTTTCATTAAATTATTTGTTGTAACCGTTAGTAATATAAATGTTTTTTCTAGTTTGACTTTTATGAGAGTGCAAAATTTGTTTTCATTTATATGACCTCTTTATAAATAAGTTAGTCTATTACTTATGGAGAAAATGTTTAATGGCAAATAAAGTTCAATATTTCTTTAGACACTAATTGTGATTTTTGTTTTATCTTGTAACTATTACATAACATTAACGATTTACTCTAAAAAAATCCTATTTTATGTGTAATTGATTCGATGATTTTCTTATACTACTTGAAAAGTTTTTCTGAATTCTTAAAAATTATAACAAGTGTACAGATAGTATACAGTTTGTAGCAAACAATAAAATAAAATAGGAACAAAAAATGGCAATTATTTTTGTTTCAAACTGTCTCATTTCATACGTTCGATATGACTAACGAAAATGGATCATAATTTAATGAAAATTTGATCACTGGATTTTTACCTAGATCTATTGATTATTGATAAATAGTTTAAATAATAAAAATGAATTTTCATTTATTTAAGGTAACCGTTGTTTAAGTGCTTTAGATTCGAGTTTTACAAACATCTCTGTTGTTATTTGACTAAATTAAATACGGTCAGTCAAAAGACGTTTAAAATTCACAAAGTACGAGGGTCTGTATGAAGAAAGGCATATCCCAGGAAAACGTGTTTATTAAAATACCTAAAATAAAATAAAACAAAAAATTCTAATATATTTAAATAACAAGTACACATTTATATTAATATATATATATATATATTATTTGTATTTATATTTAAATATNATATATATATATATATATATATATATGAATATATTAATATAGATAAATTGATTTATTTAAATGAAGTATTGAAACTTAAAAATCAAAACATGTTTTTCTAGGGAATGCCCGTCTCGCACACAGCTACTCAATCGATTTTGATCGGTCGCTTTAAGCAAATATAGTTGTGCTACACATAACTTAATTATTATCACTATAGTCGACTACCCGGTGTAATATGATAAATACACAAGTAAATAATTAAAAAAACATTTACCTGCAGGTATCACAGTATCCGGACCGAACTTGTACACCAGCTGCTGCACGAACACGCCAGCCGACAAGTGTATGCCGTGCGTGAGGAGATGAGTGATTACAGCCACGGCAGCCACCACCCAACCCCATCCGCCCTCTGGGTAGTAGTGCTGTTTGAGAGTGACAAGCTGCCGGATGTCTCCCAATACGGACAGGCCGACCGGTTGCGATTTACTACAGACGCCGGGCAACGGGGAGCCGGCGCCATTGTGGTGACCACTATCCGGACATCCACCATCGCTAAAGCTTCCTCCCACGCCGGAATCGTTTCCTAAAAAGTGCGGAAGACTCCTGGATCGGTAGAGTCCAGGTTTTCCTTTGTCGGCGTTGTAGACTACGCCGTTGGGCACCACTACGACCACACTACTACAAATATATTTTACATTTTTATCGCATTTACACTTCATAAGAACAACTCGTGATCAATTCACTCGGAAACAATTCACAACGGTAACAAAATAAGTAACTCGCTCGTAGCCAACCCACACTCGATTATTTTGTTTGAATAAGATACAACAATTTTCGGACTGTGCGAAAGCACCTTGAAAAATTCAAAACTGAATGATTTATTTTGGTGCACAAAAAGTGTATTTTAATTAAATTAATTAAAAATAACTGCTATTATCGAAGACTTTATGGTGGCGTTTTTTGTTAGGATTAATCTGTCACAAAACAATTATTCTTGGTAGCACTGCCGTTCAATTTTTAATTGAACGTTTCATACTTACATTATTTTTGTTACAGTAAATTACAGAAAAATAGAAATTGCGAAAAAGATACTGAAATTTCATTAGAATTGTTTCCTCAAAAGCAAGAAATTTAATTTTCATAACTAATTAAATTTATTATGTTTTCTATGTTCAATTCTAATAAAATACGTAATCAATCACTATAATTGAAAAACAAAGAAATAATAGTAAAAACTGTTTGATTTGGTGCTAAAAGAATAAATCAAGATACTTTTTATCTTACATATTTTAAACAATATTATGTTTGGCTTTCAGGTCAATGATAATGCCTAAGCCTCATTTTTAAATAGAAAAAAGAGCTAATTACTTCACGCTATTATTTAATCTTCAAGTCTTTTTAAATTCTATGTAGTTTGTATTAAATTTATATTATTTGGACACGTTTTATATTTATTTATACATCACGTCAGCCAACAATTAATTTGCAAATTACATTTTGACTTCTTAACGAATAATTTTTGAGCTATGAAAACCTTTTTATTAAAAAAAAAAGACTAAATAAATTAAGTAGTAATTATTTAGCGCGACATCTAATGATACATCATTATTTTTTTTTTTATGCTAACTTAATAACGGTTTTTGGTCCTACTCTTTTGAGCCCTTCGAGTTATTTATATTTAGTTCATTTCGGCTGTTGATCAAACTCACTGCCGGTGTCTTTTTCAAGTCTGTGTAAGCAAATAAAAAAAAAAACGCCGTGTAATTTTATCCCGACCAAAGTATTAATATTATTTTAAACGTTTTCTCGAATTATTGAGTACCGGGTAACATCTTAGTGCTAAATCACTGGCATTATTTATCGTTTCGTGAGTTAATTATTACACGGTTTCCAAAAAAAAAAAAAACAATATTAGTAATAATTATTATAAACCACACAAATTGAAATCAACAGGTTATGAGTTATATCGTTTGCTCTAGTTTTAGTCAAGTGGGCGCATTCATTGTACGGCATGTATATATTTTATTGATTACATAATAGTTATGATGTATTATACTGTCGTGTAGAACTTCTAAAACACAATTAGTTGGCGACCACACGCCGATAACTACATATACTAATTACTATTTTACTTATAGTAGTTTGCTTGAATTCGAATTTAATTACTAATATTATATTAAGGGGCGGCTCTTTTTTTTTTTTAAATGTCAACATTAAACTGAAATTATTAATTGGGTACAATTTATCAACCTAAAACCTTCGGGAATAACACAAAATCATTAATACGAAAACAAAAATCATGTAAATTTATCGTTATCAACAGAATATGAAGGTGTTCAGAAACATTATACGGTACAAAATACTTTTTAAATTGCTCTAACCATGTCAAATCTATGAAGTGACCGTAATGTATCGAAATTGGATTGACAAATAATTTTTCTAGAAAAAATCAAGTATTTAAATATTTCAAAATACCAAATTAGTGTTGAGAATTTTATTCTGTTTTCATACGTGGAACGTATTAAAAAAAAATTACTGACCAGCCGGATTTTCCAACACTCATTGAAGACTTTTTGATGGCTGACAACTTAGATATTTGTTTTACCATCGGCAGACATAAATTATTCAACGGTTCAATAAATCAGTCGAGTAAAAAACCATTGCATAGGTGCGATTTTGCGACTACACCGAACGTGTATAAGTGTACGAGTGCACAAGTGTTCGGCTGTAGAAAGTGACAAGGGGCACCGTTACAAAATTAGATCCATCCAAGTCACATAGATCACGCATATGAAACCCGTTATACGTCCACGTCTGATCTTATCCATATTTTTTATAACCACCGCACACATTGACCCTGTTATTATTAATGAGTGTAACTAAGGTATGATAAGAAGGTTTGATCGGACGTGTAGCAATATTTGTTTTTCAATTGATTTCACTGATTAACTTGACAGTCCATTTTCAGCAAATATGTTTCATTTCAAGTAAGCAGATGTAATAAATTTATGAGTTTATATTTATGGTTTTATTTTAAATAGCACCGATTAAAATGGATAGAAAGTTAAAGAGAAACGGACATTTTTAAACGAAATAGAAACCATTTTCGATAGTATTATATCGAGACATTGAGCATTTAAAGGAAAAATTTAAACGTTTTAAAAACGGACTACTATCAAATTATATTCTAAATTATGTATTTCGTTTGGAATAAAAGAAAATCTACGATAAGATAGTGATTTTTATCAGCACAATATTTCAAGGGTAGTAATAGGAAAATTTAATTTTTATTATAAATCCCATTTAACTATTTTCTACTGGTAATATACAAAGATCCTGGTATGATTAATTTTGATTTATGTACTAATTCTTTTTGGAGCCATTCAATTTCTCTTAAAATAGTAATTGTTTAGTGAATTTTATTTTTTTTTGACTTTCATTAATTACATATACATTTTCATTTACCTGTAATGAAATCATTTTTATGTTCATCTCTTGTGTGTTATAAGGATGTCAACTTTATATATTCAAATAGAAACATGCACAATTAACTAGCTAATAAAAAATAAAACTATGTAATTAAGAAAATGACTGGTCGATAAGAACTATTGGACGGAAATCGAATGGCTAGTGTTATAGGAGAATGTTTATATATTTTTTAATAGTAACATTTAGTAATCATACAGAAAAAATTTTGAACGATTCTTGAAAAATGTTTGACACTTTAAATCTGAAAATATTTTACCTTTTCGTATCTTTATAGTTGCAATCATAATTGGTTATTTTTATATGAATAATTGTAATTGCTTATTAAATTACTGCGAGATTATTTGGACACGATTATTTTTTGAGTGAATTTTAAATATTTCCATGAAAACGCATAGTACATGATAAAATGTCTCCCTCGTTTATTGCACTAAAAAAAATGTTTTAAGTAGTCATTTTTGTCGAGTTGAAAAGTTACGTATCGCGTTGAAATATTTTTTATTTTATATTATTTCGAAACGGCCTATTAATACAACACTATTTTGGAATCCTTTGCGTTAATAAACTCTGCGTTGATGGAACGATCGCTTCCGAGTGAATTGCCAAGAACAACACAATCAATAGAATATTTTCATATTGGCCACCCGTTGATTGTTTTTTAGTTTGACTAGACGACTTCATTAACCCCCAGACTGCTTATGAGCACGTGTATTTTTTTATACTTCTTTAACATCTACCAGTGGCCGAGACAAAAATGATTAAGATGCGGTCGTTATTATCGACTGACCTGCTGGAGTCATCGTCGCCGATGGCCATTCCGTCGATGAGAGCGCGAACACGGCGGTAAGCGCATATCACTCGGCCGCGTCAAGTCGCAACTTACATGCTTTTTAAGCGCAATAAAGTGGTGCTATGACTTTTTTCAGGTACCGACACTTCAAACGAGGACGACGACACACGACGTTAAATCGCAAGCGATCACAAAATCATCGTCCGCTGAAAATACGTGTACAGAACAAGGAGACTGCGCGCGTAAATGTGTGTGTGTGTGTGTGTGTGTGTAAACTAGCGATACCGACAAGCGACTGCCGTTGCAGTGCTGTTGGGAAAAGACCGTTGCCGCGCCGAAGCTTGTTGCGTACCTCCCAAAGCACGTGTGTGCGCCGCGCAGTGACGCACAGTGAAAGACACTTTTTCCTTGATAGAATTTGCTCCAAGCACCAAAACAACACTGACGATATTTTTTTGGCCGCTGAACGCCAAATCAGCCGTTGATTTCACGTTTTGGAAATATTAACGAGTATTTTAATCAGTTGTCAACTATTGAAATGTTCCGAGACGTTCGTCTTGGTTGGGCTGTCACTGATGTTTCTCAAAGGAAAACAGTTGACGTTATTCGAAATGTTTAGTCCAAACGAAATTCAACACTCGAGTATTGCATTTATTTATCAATATTATGTATTTGTATTTTATTTATAATTTTATACGCGTAAACGTACTGTTGTTGGAATAATAATTAGTTTTTATATTACACGAAAAGATAGTATTGCTGTGAGCTTTTTTTTAATAAATTCAACGCAAATAAGTCGCTCAAGTATTTCACTCACATTATTAAACGGAGTTGCCATTTAAAACGAATTCCGGAAACGCGAAACGATGTTTAGTTCAGGATCGGAATACGTATAGAAAATCGGTTCCTTTGTCGAAAAAGGAAAGGTTCACATGTAGAATATTGTTACGGCGACCGTGTGATAGATATGAGTACCACCGAGTTGTCCTATTTTTTTATTCCGAATAATCAACGTTGAAGAGCACACTACATTCTTTACAAATCACAAGCGGTTATTATTTCCAATTATGAGTTACTACGTACACATTGTCAATCAAACATTTATCGAAAAATGCCAACAACTCGGTCGTTGCAATTGTCTCGGACAGAGTTCAATGAATTGAGGGAACGTAAGGATGTGTATCGTGTAGACCGATGGATTTAATAATGATTACAACAGACCATAAGCTCAATCGATGACTTTTTTAGTTCCGCCACGACTGGTCATTAAATGCATTTTCACTCAAACGTCGTCGCAATTTCAAAATTATTACCAAACTATTTTCCTCGTTTTCTTTGCAGTTTTTCAAATGGACGTCACAGCAGTTGAAGCGCAGGGACTTGTACAGGAAATTATGAACACTTAAAAAATTAAGCGAGCACACTGCCTAACCGTAACACGGAGTTTGGCGCCACTATTTGGCTTTATAGAATCATTTTATTATAGTAGAGAAAGGAACATAATTGTCTACTGGTAATGAATCGACGATTTTTCCACTGGTTTTTATTAAACCTAAAGATATTAAAATACCAAAAATTTTGTTGAAATACGCAGTACGTAACCGTCGAGAGCTTTACAATAGTCACATTATAAATATTATGGGTTCTTTATAAGCGTTTTAAACTTGACACGTCTGAAACGATTCGTGAATTAAATAACGTCTAGGGAAAACTTTGACTGCGCTCCCTATATTTTCACATCGCACGCTCAGTTTGTATGTGTACGTTGCTAACACTAGTGTGTGTCGCCAACAAGTTCAACTACACTAATAAAATACATCCACTCGGCATTTTGTAGGCTTTTATGATTCCATTACAACCGCTTGGTCAACCAAATAACACCGCCGAACGTAATACATCACAACAACGACAGCAGCAAATAGTCTGAGAAAGTTGTTATTTCCGAAACGTATATGTGCCCATAAAAGTCACAGTAATAACATGATCACGATCAACCGCTTTACTACATCCGCCGTGCCATGTGCATGTTATTGTAGTAATATAGTTATTATAATTTACAACACATATGTCGTATAATATTGCAAAAATGATATCTCGAGTTAATAGGATTTTTAACTAAAAAAAGCAGCCATGTCGTTTTTCTGAAAGAGTTTCAATGAAAATCGTTTATGACCGCTGGCTCTGCCATGTTATCCTAACCGAGCACAAAAGTTGCAGTTTTGTTTTTTCAACTCAGTAAACAGTGATGATATTAGTTTATTCCATTTTCACGCCTCATCTCTTTATGTAACTTTGGGGTTTTTTTTTTTTTTTACGTAGTTAATAAGAACGAAAACTGGGTAAAAACTTCAATTAATAAAACTGTAGTTGAAATAACAGTTAACTGTCACCAAACATTTAAGTAAAAGCAAATCTTATTTTATACAAAGTTTTGTTCAGAGTGATAAAGCGTCATAATTATATTTTTATTTTAATTGTCATCAATTTTATTAATTTTAATTAATTATACTTGGTCTTTTTTTTTTAAATTATGAATGCAAATTTATTTCAACGATTTGAGTGCTTGGTTTGTCTTATACGTCTAAACATTAGAAATAGAATATTTTTACATTTATATGTTAATCACTACAGCACCAAATAAAATAAAGACCGAGTCTAATGAATATACTACAAAAAAAAAACACAAACTATAATTTATCAAAAACCGCATGATTAATATTGTAAAAGTATTTAAGGTAAAATACAATTTATAAAAATCAAATGAACAAATAGCTAACAAGTATTGTCTTATAATTACACCACAAGTATACAGCAGTAAAGGATTAACAACAGCAATAATATTTTATTTCATAAAGCGCGTGAATCTATTAGTTCTTAAATTAACGTTTTCTTCTCTTAATCATAACCAGTAATAATTAACAATTAAGCACACATTTTATACTATGGTACAAAAGTCATTGAGTAATTACTTTTAAATAAATATTTATTCAAAACAAATTCATACTTCCGAATCGTGTCGTTCTTCTTTGCTCTATTTCTAAAAGTTATTTGCCAACAAATATGTATAGAATGTTAACATTATTGACTAAAGAATTTCTCGGATTACATAAATCAGAAAATCTTTAAATAATACCTATTGTATCAGCTGTTGCAAAATGAAATTGTAATTGATAACATCAACTGTTGGTTAGCATTTATGCATATATTGTTTAGTGGTACTATCTTGAATCTTTTGTAAAACTTTTAGTACATTAACCCAACCGTAATGCCACGTGACTGTAGAAATATTTTAAAATACATTTTTATCAAAAATATTATTTCATGTAATAAAGACTAAGTTTTTGTTGAATATAATGTAGCTATCCGTTCTCGAAAAAGAATAAGTAGATAAGGAATAGATAAAACGTTAAAATAGCAATGTGGTCCATAAATTGACAATATTTCCATTTTCGTATCGAATATTTGGTACAAAAAAGTGAGACGTGATAGAAGAAATAAAAAATGACCATTAGTGATCGAAAACGGCGATGGGCTGTTTTTATTACGACAAAAGAATTGTAAAAACTAAAATAAAATAAAAAATGATGTAATGACACACAAAATATGTGCATTTTAAAACGAATGAATCAATTTCTTCTATACAAAGTATTTGATTTTTACTTAATAACTATTGTAAGTTATTTTCAGAAATTTCAACTTGATCCTGTTAAAATCAAAATAAATGCAAGAACACGTTTTGTTTGAATAATTATAGTAATCGACAAAAATTATATTGTGACATCACTGACGAACGCGTCTAATTTGTCAAAGAGCATCTTAGTTATCACTTTCAATGCAGCATATTAAAAGCAAAACAATATTAGCATCCTGATTTATGTATAATACTTGTATACTATAGAATATATAATATTTTTTTGATAAGCAGAAGACAACACATTATCTGTAACTCTAGTGAACTCTCATATCTTTGAGCGCAAACAGAATTGTCAATTTCCTTTAATCATATAAATGCTGCGTGGCTGTAAAGCCAAACCAGAAAGTAGGCACTCAGACATATTTATTTCTCACGACCCGCATCTATGTACCTATAATATTCCTACCGTTTAATAAACGTTTCTAAGAAACAAGATTGACGTATCTTTAAATCTTAGTCTCTTTGTATAAATGCAATAAAGCTGCTGGTATGTCACGTCTTTATGCTATCATCTAACTCCTTATTGTTACCGAATGATGTTCTTAACAGCTAGAAATAGTCTTCAAATATATTCATCCGACACTAAAGTAAATCCCGAATCATTTGCCAGAAACGTTTTCAAGTCATACTCACAGTTCATACGCGTTTATATTGTAACACTGCATTTGTAGGATACTTAAACTATTTTATATTTCGTTGATATTTTATTGCAAAACTATTTTTTATAGAAAATTGCAAAATTATAATTTTCAGACCATATGAGCAAAGTAAATTTTATCAAGTAGAACATTTTTAAAAAGTTTATTTCATATAAAGCAAAAAATGACAATATAATGCGCAAAAAAAAAACTCTCGATCACATAGAATTTATAAATTTAATTAAGCCAAAAATATAACACACTTTTCAAGCTTTGAATAAAATTTCAAAGAATGTTAATTTAGCACATTGAATCGACCAAAGCCGATAGTCATTATATTAATATTGATCGTATCTTAAATAATTAATTTACTATTTATAGTAGGCAAATCATTTCAATCAATGCGCACAAAATAATTCATTTGGTTAGTGAATATGACGCTAAGAGTGTTTTAGGTCAACAAGGGTCACGATTTCATCGTTTGTATATTGAGTAGGTAAAACGACAACTGCTCTATCAACAAACAAAAGAATAGGAACTCGTGACGATCATACAGACTGGCGACCAGTTGTCCATTTCATAAAGCTCTTTGTTGCAAATTTTATTTAGAAAATTTAATATTTCGTTGGATGTCTGTTATCGTTTTACCACACGAGTCAGAGCAATTTAATCCATAATCTATGTTTGCCAAAATCTCTCCTCTTCATTCTGCATGAAAAACCGAACAATTTAGTTTCTATCAAATTATACCAAGAGGATAATATGATTAAATTTTCATTGCGCGCACAAGCAGTCAAATATATGCAATAAATCAAACGTATAACATTATTAAGTAACGGTGCATTAGTCTTCTTTAACAACTATCTGTTCGTCTATAATTGCTGGAAACTACTCGACTTAATCGTGTACGTAATTCAAGAAAAAATTATTCAAATAAAAATATTAATTAAATTTATTTATTA